ACAACAGAAGGTACTTTTAAAAAATAGGACAAATGCCTTCAAAGGACAATCAATACAGAGTTATTTGATAATATAAAAATATTCACAGCCTAAATATTCATTAATAGGAGACTGGTTATATAATATAAATCATATCAAAACACTGGAATAATATATACTCAGTCCATAAAAGTCATATTTTCCAAGAATAACTGTGTATACCAGTATAAGTTAGATAAAATAAAATCTAAGTTATTAACTTGTATAAAAACTCACCCAGCTAAATGTCAAAGGGTGGATGAAAATAGAGGAAACAAAACACACTGGGGGTGGTGGGAGGCGGGAAAGAAAGAAAAGAAAAGAAAAAAATCTAAGACAGAAAGCATTAAAAGAAATGAGCAGGGACATTTAGCTTTAATAAGAGGTGAAGCTCCCCACAGAGGTGTGACGGTGACAAACGTGAATGCTCACGCACCTAGCTGCATAGCTGGGGATGTGAGGCCGAGACCGGTGGAGATGCAAGAGAAAGTGATCACCCACAGTCACTGTGGGAGGCTTTCACCAAAATGAGCAGACACAAAGACAGACACAAGGCTGGATAGACTGTGAATAATCCCAAACTAGGCTCAGGATATGTAAGTTATGTATTTATGCCTAGAATAATACTTGGAGGAAATTAATAAAATATTAACACATTGTTTTGGAGTAGAAGGCTATATGTGTTCTTTTTTCTATCTCCTTTTCTGTATTTTTCCATATTGAACATACACGTCTATAATGGAAAGGAAAACAGTTCATGTCCGCAGAGAACGAAGGGCTACACCACAGCACAGTGAACACAACACTGCACAGCATGTACTGGCCCTAGCTCAGATGACGCCACCAGCCGCGCACAGCCGTGAGCATGAAAGGCTGCCCACAGGCAAGCTCGCTCTCTCCACTCCACACAGAGGAGCACATGGCGGCCCCTTTTGGAGCTGGGCCAGGTTTTCCTCTCAGGCAGGCCAGGGAGTGGATTTATAGGCCCATAGGATCCAGACATCTGTGTGAGTCTACTGGCAGTGCGAACCTTCCTGGTAAGAAGCAGACAGAGCGCCATGTAGTCAGGCTGGCCCGCCCTGACGTCCACAAATGCCGCCTCTGTGCTGAGGTCCAAGCCCCCAAACCATGTGGGCACCGGAAGGCAAGAGAGAACAACTCCTGCAGTGTCTTGCTGAACTGTTGCTGCAAGCACCACTCACATATGTGACTGCTTTTTAACCTTTCTGGGAGAGGCTGCCAGGCTAGAGCTCTTCTGATATCCGCCTGGGCTAACGTGTGGTCTCCCAAGGAGGCAGAGGAAGGACTTCTAAGTATTCCAGTATTGATTAAAGCATCAAGTTTGAGCCTAAGTCATCTCTTCTCCTATAATTAAAGAAATGCAACCTGAGAGACATAATCGGAAATCCAAAGGCATGCATGTTTCCAAGGTGCCAGGAACCAGGGAAAAGGAATACTGTGACAGAAAACCAAGATGCTCCATTGCAACCTCGAGTCATTTTTGGGATAGAAAAGGCATAAATAATACACACATATGGGTAAGAAATGAACTGCGTTTGAGAGGCTTGGGGCAGCCCATACACTCCTTTTTCTCTCTTCCTCCCCCATTAGTAGGAGCATCAAGACCTAGACAAAATAAGAGAGGATGTGAAGTCAGTCCACTGAGCACCCCTTCGGGGCCTGCTTTTCCTCCTCATCCTCATCACTGCTCCCAGGCTACATTAGCACCCTCTCCTAGTCCACCTTGTGAGGGAAACAATAAAGTCACAAGGCACTTGCTGAGATGCTAGGACTGGAAATAAGACTAAAGAGTTGCATTTGCATCAACCAAAGTGAGCTACAGGATGATATTTGGGGGCAAAGATGGCATTCTCCATGCTTTGCAGATCACCCTGCAAACACGGCTGCCTAACTCTGCATACAACCTCAGGAGCAGATTTCATTGACCTCCTCCACTGACATACTCAAACATAAGCACCTTGTTCACGTTCTCTCCCTGTCTATACGCATTACTATTATGAATATTCTGTTTTGGCTGGGTTGTTTCTGTTCAATACAAGGAGCCTAGAGTTAGCTATTTATCATATTTTAAAAAAGTAAACAAAAAATTATTTTGCCAAAAAAAAAATCTTTGAGGTTTTAGAAACCAATTTCCCGATGTCAGACCCTCCCTTGGGTCTGGCTTTCTCATCCTTGTTTGGCCTCACGGTCTGTTGGATTTCAGACATGGCTTGACTTCTTTCTGTCCTACTTTTTTAGGTTGATGTAAACTTCTAAGGTGATCGAATATTTCCTGAGGTTTTCCCTGTGTAAGATCCCCAGAAATAGGAGAAAATAAATAAATAAAGATTGCTAGGTAAGCCAAAAGGAAGATTTTTAAGGTCTGATAATGAAGGATCTTAAAGCCACATGCAGTCTGGGCTGGGCTGTAGTAGGAGGCACAGACGGCACTCTCCCTAGGCCCAGGAGCACAGACACAAAACCTGCAGGCCAGGCAAAGCAATGACAGAGAGCGAAGGGGCCAGGTGTTGGAAGAACAACTGGGAGAGGTAGGGACATTTATAGGTGACTGTTGGCTGGCTATTCAGGTACAGCTCATTACTGCCATGTGGGAACAGGCCTGGCACTGCTATGAATCTACCAAATCGTGGCTCTATCTACAACATAGCAACGTGAGAGAAGGACAAAGAGCCTGGTGAAGAGAGAGAGCTCAGTCAAAGCTTGTAGAACGAGTGAGGGCCTTCCTAGGCGGAGGGTGGCCTATCCTGGGAAAAACAATGGCAAGAAGACAGCTGGCACCATGGAGGGTCCATAATCAAGGGAGGAAATAACTGCAGAGTGAACTTGAGCCACAGCCACTGGTATGGAGAGGAAAGGGTGAAATATAGTAGACAGGCTAATGAATTTTCAAAAAGCAGAACTCAGCAAAAGACCAGATGTGCAGGTCTAGGGTGGTGATGAATCTTCCAGGGGAAGCCTGCAAAGAACTCGTCTAGAGGGCTGAAGGACTGGCCATAAGGGAGAGAAGGTAAACATATTCTTCTTCACTAGCTTCAAAGCCCTTCACCTGGTTTACGCAGACAACCTTATTTTCTTTCTCCTCCACTCTCCCATAAAAGGGATCAGGGGATGATCAGGGGTCCAGAAGTCCAAGCACTAATAGAAACAGAGCTAAACCTACAGCTAATGAGGTGATGAGGTATTCATTCAGGAGAAACTGTGGGCAGAGGAATGGGCAGGGCTGGGGATAAATATTAGAGAGGGATGGCGTCTATGAGAAAGTGGCAAGAACAGCTTGGGCTACACAGAGTCAAGGCATACTGGCCAAAGGTGGGGGGAGCAAGGACAGAAAGGGGTGAGGGATAGCCTCAAATAGTTCACAAATCATGGGTTCTTCACAGCATGGGGCATGCCTTGGGTTCTGGTCCATAATTTTCTTAAAGACTTGAAAAACAAAGATAAAAATATTGCCAAGAAGTAGTATTCTGGACAAATAAGATATGGCAGACTCAAGACTACTGCTCAATTAAACCACGTGAGCCTTTTCACTGCATGACTTTTGTGGGCTTCAGTCTAAATTATATTTTTATGATTATCAAATTGGGTCCAAGGTCTTGGACAAATCTTAATGTTTACTTTAAAAGATAAACTTCATCAGGAGTTTAAGAACAACTCCAACCACTTTTTTTTTTTTGAGACAGAGTCTCACTCTGTTCCCCAGGCTAGAGTGAGTGCCGTGGAGTCAGCCTAGCTCACAGCAACCTAAAACTCCTGGGCTGAAGCGATCCTGCTGCCTCAGCCTCCCAAGTAGCTGGGACTACAGGCATGCACCACCATGCCCGGCTAGTTTTTTCTATATCTATTAGTTGGCCAATTAATTTCTTTCTATTTATACTAGAGACAGGTCTCGCTCTTGCTCAGGCTGGTTTCAAACTCCTGACCTCGAGCTATCTGCCCGCTTTGGCCTCCCAGAGTGCTAGGATTACAGGCATGAGCCACCGCTCCTGGCCTACAACCACTTGTTAACTGAATATTTATTATAGTAGTTAATATTAGCTACTTAGTTAACTAATTAGTAAATTAGTGATTGCTAACTAAGAACCAAGGTGCTATACTAGGTTCTTTAAACACACTATGTCATAAATCTTTACCATGATTCTAAGAAGCTGGTGGCATCATGCAAATTTACCCATGAGGAATAAAAGCAAGATCTAGAGATGTTAAGTCACCTGCTAAAGGTGACAAAGTCTTTGAGTGACAGAGCTGAGGTCAGAGCCGAGGTACTCAGGCCCTGGTTCTAAGCCAGAGGTCAGCAAACATTTTTATATAAAGGGCCAGATAGTAAATATTTTTAGCTTTGTGGGCAATGTTCTCTGTCACAACTACTCAACTTTGCCATTATAGTGCAAAAGCAGCCAGAGACAATACATAAACAGATGGGTATGACTGTGTTCCAACAAAACTTTTATTTATGTACACTGACATTTGAATTCCATATAGTTTTCACGTGTTATGAAATATCACCCTTCTTTTGATTTTTCTTCCCCAAGCATTTTAAAAAGTCAAAACCATGCTTAGCTTTGGGCCATAAAAAAAACAGGTGGTGGGATGGATTTTTTTTACCTGCTGCATCTGCCGATCCTGGTCGGCAAAAAACTAGGCTCTGCTGCCCTCCAGCTTACATCATGTGCTGGTTTCCTTGGGAGGCCCGTAGATATCCTAGGAAAAAAACCTATGTGTGTGTGTCTGGATAGGGCACACGGCTCTGAAATACAATTGTGAGAAAAGACCTAACAGAAACTGCTCTGGCTCTGCCTGACCCCAGACTCAGACTTGAAAACTCCTTTCTTCCTTTAGTCCCCTTGCTTGTGTTCTTCTATAGAAATAAGCATTGATTCAGGTCAATCTGAAACCAGGGAAAATTCTGGGCAGGATGCATAACACAATTCTCTGCGACCATGTGCCCACCATGCCCTTCTTACCTGCAGGGTTTGACTGAAGCGCTTTAATGGTGTGGTCTTCACAGGTGGGATGAGGTTGGCTAGTGATGTAACTCTGGAAAGGGGTTTGACCCGTTTATTACTAGGCTCCTATAGGATTAAAAATACAATAAAAAAAAAACAAAGGGAAAACATCAAGGTCAGTTACGAAGACAACACAGCCACCACACAACTCTGTCCCACTCCACAAGCTGCTGGCTGCACCCTGCTCTGTGGAATATAAACAGTGCCCTGGCTCACGCCAGCTGCACAGAGATGACCTGACTTAGGAGCCAGGGCAGGGACATGGCAGGGGATGTCAACAGAGGCAGCCTCTGGGAGGACAGCAAAGGGGCAGGAATCCACTCCTCATCCTTCACTCCCAGTACCTGCCAGCTTTTAGTTCAGAACCTTCCACTTAGTGGAATACCCCCCACCCTTCTGTAGAGAAACGCGGCCTCTAATTTCCCATCCAATGACCTTGTCAGGAAGTTGTCTTCTGTTGCTTCTTATTCTGTCTTTTTAAAAACCTTTTCCCACCTTGTCTAAAGCCACTCTTTTTTTATGTAATGGCTTTTCGAAAGTACAAAGATGATTTTTTTTAGTTTACTAATTCAAAAACCTTTTCTTAAAAAAAGAAGTTCTATTACTGGACTCTTAAGGAAGCATCTTTGTGCCTACAGTGTATTTGAAATGCACATTAATATTTATAAATAATAACCAGATAGCAAAAGAAAATGTACAGTACAGTGAGAAAACCATCGTGTGGGCATCAGTTTCTACACTATCTAGAACCACAAGTTTTGAAAATCACCTCCACATAAAACATTATTTGCAAATCTACAAGTTACTCCAAACCAGGCTGATGGGTGAGAGGAAGGCTACTCATTCCAAGGACTTTGCAGACAAGAATTACATAAATAAAAACAACAGGCTATGGAGAAGAGAAAGATGACAGACAAAACATTGTACAAAGACAAAGAGAGCAGTTACCCTTGTCTTCCTAAGCTCCATCTGACCTGTAGTAGATGCTGGACAGCACATGAAGACACCAAATTTAGATGGGAAAAGCCAAAGCAGCAAACTGTGGTGGCAAACCTCAATCATTTCCAGAGGGAGAGAGGGAGTCTCTAGGAGTTCATCTTTCCTTTTCAGCCATTGTTTTCAAAGCTTCAAGGGTTAAGCCAGAATTTTAGATTTTCCAGGACATCCCTGCATCCCTGTTCTGAACATTGTAGGTGCTTAGAAAAATCTTTCATGCATTTGGAATCCTGCTGAGAAGCTCTCATGTCATTTTATGCCCTTGCCAGCCTCAGAAATCAAAAGCCTTCTTTGAAATAAATGGTCTCCGAGCTTACTGGCATTTAAATATAAACATTTAAAAACTTTAAAAAAAAAAGCTCAATACAATCCCACAATGTGACCAGGATTGACTTCGTGATTTCTTGAAGCAGTCAAACACTTTTCCAAGACAGAGAACTAATCCAGGCTGCAGGGTACCTCTCCAGCTTCTTAGCGTGCTAAGCTGAACAGATAGCAGAAAACTCTCGGAACACTGGGAAGGCTGAGTTCCAAAACGCAGAGTTCCAAAACGCAAAGCATGAATCGCCCAACACAAGAGACATCGCATCACAATGATTTAAGCGTTGAAAAAAAAGGTCTGACAGCCCTCCTGCTTCAGGTGACAGTGCCCTTCAGGATGTTCCCTGTCTGGTGCCTGGCTCCTGAGCGTTTGTGCCCAGAGGAAGATCCAATTTTTTTTTTTTTTTTAACGTCAGAGCTGCGCGCGTGCACACACACACAGCCTCTTAAGCATTCCCTAAATTTCTCTAAATGGCTTCTGCCTTGGGCTGGAAATGCCAGGTTGGTGGCACAAAATGCATTCAGCAAGAGACGTGACACGGAATGCTTGAGGGAGCAGGACTTGGTCTCAATGCGGATTATGGTCTCATACAGATAATCCTGCATGCACCTCAGACCCCAGAGACTGCAAGTCTCTCACTGTCTTTTTTAGTAGCTAAAGCTGCTGGGTCATGGATTCTGTATCAGAATGGGGAGGTTGAAGGGCAAACACCAATTGGGTTCTCTTGCTTTAAAAAAGGTGCAGGGAGCACTGTGCGCTTGGCAGGATGGGGGATGATCCAGCTCTGTTCCACTTGCTGTGTCATCTTTTCTAAGGTTCTGCTGACTTTGCTGCTCCTTCTACACGACTCAGACAGGCATTTTCTGCACAGCTACAAAATGTATGCACAATGTAAATGGCCCCTCTGTAGGTTGAGTGCAGCACTGTTACATGAGATTGTAATTAGAACTGCTTTCCTAAGGCATTGCCAATTTGGAAGTAAACATCAGGCTGCTCTCTGCAATCTGACATTCCCAAGTAACGAACGACTGAACCAGAAGCCTTTGCTGCATGATTTAGTGCTATGATCCAGCAATGCAAGCAGGTGCGATTTCAAAACCAGTACACTTATAGGTTATTGGATCTATGGGGAAGGCTTTATGCCTGAACCACATGAGTGAGGTATGAATTATGGTGTTTTCCTTAGGGGCTTCTGTGAGAAGAGGAGATTTAAAAAATTCTTGACCTAATTTGATTTTTCTTTTCCATTTACTTAGTATGCCTCCAGCTACATTTTACTGCTGTCTAAAGAGAGCCCTCAGGGAAAATGTTTCCAGATTCTAGTTAAATAGCTCTACTGCGAACTAGCAAATGCAATACCAAGGATACTTTCAAGCTTTACAGAGAGATGACGGCACACAGCCTGCAGAGAGGCTTCCTAGTCCACCAACCCAGCTGCCAGACAACCTGGGCAAGGTCAACGCTAAACCCAGGAGCAAGGTGTCCTGCTTCAAGTGTACATATACCCCCACCACGTGATTTTAAGACAAGGCAGGAGGGTATTTCACTATAAAGGTTAAAAAAAAAAAAAGAAAAGGAAAAAAAGATCTTGAGCATTCTGTATTGGCAGTATTTTGTGAATAACAACAGTTGTGCTTCATCTTTTTCAGGAAGGCCTTACAAATTTTTTGTTTTTCTTGTCTTATTGCACCATCTAGGACCACCTATATATTGCTGATTACAAGCTAAGATAGTGGGTATGCTAGTTCAATTCCTGATTCTAACGCAATTATTGTTATTAAGATTCCATCAAGTACTGTATTTGCTGAGAGCATGGAAGAGGCACCCTTTATCAAGTAGAGAAGTACCCTTCTGTACCAAGTTTACTGGGAATTTTTATTATAAATTGGCATTGACTTTTATGAAATGTTTTTTTTCCATCTATTCAGAGGATAAGGAAGGAAAAAAAGAAGGAACGAAGAAAAAGAAGAAGGGAGAAGGAGGAAGGAAAGGAGAGAATGAAGAAAGACAGGCACAGAGGTCATATTTTTTCATAAAGGAACTGATTTAGGGATTTAAAATATCTTGTGTTTAATTATGAACAATGATGAATAAAGCTATGTAATGTTATATTTAATATGAGTTATTTTCAGTAAATGATTTTAATATTCCTGCTCTAGGGGATACAATGATTATTATCCTCCCCTCATTCTTCCCCCTAAGAGGTAAAAACCAAAGCAGATTGAAGGCAATGTAAGAAAATGCCTATCATGTCAATATAATCTATTATAATTTTTTATTCCATCGAAAATACTTCCATTGAAATAGACCTGGCATGTAGAACCCTCCCCACTCATTTTCTCTGCACTTCATTTTTACAGCCAGAGTGGGGTTGGGGAGTAGTAGGAAGATCGTCCACATCATGTCTGCAGTAGCCTTGAGCCTATCTTCACTGAGCCACAAACAAGGTGCAGGAGAGGCTGGAGATGCAGCCATTAGCATAGGGACTCAGACTGCTGTACTGCAGGGCTGCTCTGCATCTGGCCAGGAGCAGTGGAGAGGTGAGAATCGATTGTGCCAGCAGATGCTTTTGCCCATGAGTTGATGGAGTCAAGTGTTTGGAAATACCAGGGAAGACTTTGTGGGATTTCACCTGTGTGCCAGGTGGTGTGCTAAAAACTGTGCTCCCAGGGGTCGTGTTTAATCTACCCCATAACCCTCTAGGTAGTTTTCATCATCCTCATATTAAACAGGAAGTTACAATCTTACAGTGATTGAGAAATTCTAGCATAAATAAATAATAATAATAATGAGCTAATACTGGTTGCAGGAACTCATTTCACTGTTTTACATATATTTGTTAATTAATTCCTTCTAACATCCCTACAAGTTAACTACTATTATAATTCCCATTTGCAAGATAGGGGTGCTGAGGCATGCAGTGGGGCAACTTGTTTAAAGTCATTCAGCCAAAAAAAAAAAGCTGATCAGGACATAAACTCAGGCAGGCTGACTTCAGAGCCCATGCCCTACACCAGGGCATGGTTAACTTTTTCTGTAAGGAATCAGATAGTAAATATTTCAGGCTTTGCGGGCCATCCAGTTTCTTTCATGACTACTCATCTCTGTCAGCCATCAACAATGTGAAAATGAATGTGTGTGACTATGCTCCATTAGAACCTTTCTTTGTGGACACTAAAATTCAAATTTCATATAATTTTCACATCACAAAATATTATTCTCCTTTTGATTTTTTTCAACTATTAAGAAATATAGGCCGGGCGCAGTGGCTCACACCTGTAATCCTAGCTCTCTGGGAGGCCGAGGCGGGAAGATTGCTCAAGGTCAGGAGTTCGAAACCAGCCTCAGCAAGAGCGGGACCCCGTCTCTACTATAAATAGAAAGAAATTAATTGGCCAACTAATATATAGAGAAAAAATTAGCCAGGCATGGTGGCGCATGCCTGTAGTCCCAGCTACTTGGGAGGCTGAGGCAGGAGGATCGCTTGAGCCCAGGAGTTTGAGGTTGCTGTGAGCTAGGCTGACACCATGGCACGCACTCTAGCCTGGGCAACAAAGCAAAACTCTGTCTCAAAAGAAAGAAAAGAAATATAGAAGCTATTTTTAGGCCAGGCATGGTGGTTCACACCTGTAATCCTAGTACTCTGGGAGGCCAAGGCAGGCGGATCGTTTGAGCTCAGGAGTTCAAGACCAGCCTGAGCAAGAGCAAGACCCCATCTCTACTAAAAAATAGAAAGAAATTAGCTGGACAACTAAAAATATATACAGAAAAAATTAGCCGGGCATGGTGGTGCATGCCTATAGTCCCAGCTACTCAGGGGGCTAAGGCAGGAGGATTGCTTGAGCCCAGGAGTTTGAAGTTGCTATGAGCTAGGCTGATGCCACGGCACTCTAGCCTGGGCAACAGAGTGAGATTCTGTCTGAAAAAAAAAAAAAGCAGCAGCTATTTTTAGCTTGAGGCACATAAAAGTGTGCTATGTTTGGCCTGGTGGCCCTAGTGTGTTGATCACTGTTTGCTGAACAGTCAGTTCCTGGTCAGTGGTGCGTCAGTCTCAGCTTTTCTACTGTGACATACCCAAAGACAACACTCCTAGGCCATGCCACCCCCATGGGCACACCTAGTCACTGTCTGGCTCCAGCAGATGGCTTAAGCTGGATATGTATATTCTCCCTGGAGTTGGGCATGCAGGGCCTCTCTGATCAGCAGGGGATATATGTGACTCATTTTTAGGTGAGTAAACCCTATCCTATTGCATGTTATTCTCTTAACTTTCTAATAAATCAGTCCAAACACAACACCAACTTTCCATGACTATTAATATATATGAATAAAGGACATAAAAATGATATAATGCTTGGGATCTACTTCAAATAATATGAGGTTGGGAAGGGGATGGAGAAATAGCATCATTCACAGGTTGGTGGTTGTCAAAGCTAGGTGCCAGGCACAGGGCACTCAGCATGCAATCCTGCCTATGGCACATGTCAAAATAAAATATTTTTTCTTTTTAATGGACATTGTTTTTGCCAATTGTCCATGGAATGCTGAACTGAAGCAGACAGGATCTATTTGCAATTTTTGCTTCAGTTGTTAGTGAGGGCCTAGTGAGAGGGGATGCTAAAGAGATAGACATCATCCAGAATAGAAGAAACCTGGTTTTATTTTATTTATTTATTTATTCTGAGACAGAGTCTTACTCTGTTGCCTTGGCTAGAGTGCCATGGCATCAGCCTAGCTCACAGCAACCTCAAAGTCCTGGGCTCAAGCGTTCCTCCTGCCTCAACCTCCCGAGTAGCTGGGACTACAGGCTTGTGCCACCATGCCCGGCTAATTTTTTCCATATATTTTTAGTTGGCCAATTAATTTCTTTCTATTTTTAGTAGAGACGGGGTCTCGCTCTTGCTCAGGCTGATTTCAAACTCCTGACCTTGAGCGATCCACCCGCCTCGTCCTCCCAGAGTGCTGGGATTACAGGCGTGAGCCACAGCCCGGCCAGAAACCTGGTTTTAAAAAGAAAAGTTCCCACTCCTGAATAGTACAGACCAGAATAGAGAAAGGTCCACGTGGCTGGGAATGTGAAAGCTAGAATGGCTACTTCACAACATTTAAACTTAAAGGCAGTAACCCCATGGAGGGCACCAGCCCAGCAGCCAGACTCCCTGAAGGCTCTTATTCTATTGACGGCTTTCTTTATTCACTCCCATTAAGAAACCCATCAGCAGGCTCTCAATCACTGAACTCCATGACATAAAACGATCCAGTGGAGGTCAACTCTAATTATTTCAGAAATACACAGAGAAAATCATATTTCAAAATCAGACTGTCTATGGACAGGAGTCCTCTGTGTTCCTATTACATTTATTTTGTGAGCATGCTTTGCTTCCCCATTATTGCCTCCCAAATTCATGTGTTTTTTTTTTTTCCCCCATTCCTTCAATAACACCATCTTCTACTAGAGAGGCTAAAACCACCCATGCCTGCCAGATTCTCACTCCCCCTCTGTCTCTCTCCAATCAAATAAACGTAAGACTCATTACAATTGCCTTGACTTTACCACCCTTCTTTCTCAGGGCCAAAGGTGGTTCACATCATTTTACACTCATGCCCAAGTTTCTCACCCTTCCAAACTTCTAGGTCACCACAAATATTCTTGTGTTCTCATTTCCTATGACGCCTCCTATTTCCAAGGCCTTCCCCACCCTTTTAGGGTCTCTCATTCACCAACTAGCCTATTCTTCCACTCTTGCCTCTGCCTTCTTCCAAGTCATAAACTTTACTCCAAATGGCCCCAGTCCTCCCTGACAGCTTGCTTTATATCTTGTCCTTCAACGAATTCCTACAGATTCTCACTCTTATGTTAATGTTTTTCTAAAAAATGGTGGAGGATGCATATGATTTTTATAGACCTATCTATTTTAGTCTGGCTCTCATACTTACTGAGTGATCTTAGGCAAGTTATTTACAGTTTCTTCAACTGAAAAATGGAGAAATAACAAATATGGTTGTAAGAATTCTGTGAGTAAGAGCTATCATTTATTGGGAATTTACAATCTGCACTGGGCAGTGGGTTAAGAGCTCTACATGAGTTTTCTCATGGCATCTTCAGGACATCCTCTAAGAGAGCTAATATCATTATCCCTACCTTATAGGTGAGTAAGCCAAGGTGTGAGGACCACAAGTACGTACACAAGATCACATATCTCAGGTGGTAGAGGCAAAGTATGGACCACGTGCTGGACCACACGCCAGTGCTACACTCTTCTGCCCAACAGACAAACAATGGTGATGAGCACATAGCACAGCACTCTGTGAAGAGCAAATGCCAGTCAACGGAGCCCAGAATGGGACTCACAAATTGGTATGATTTTACTAGAGATTACCCCCACCTTTTTTCGCTAAGAACAGGTGAGCTTATCTAATCATTTGATATACTCATATTCCAAAAAATTGATTTTGAAATAATTTTAGATTTATAGAAGAGTTGTAAAAATAGTACAGAGGGTTCCCACACACCCTATACCCCACTTCCTCTAATGTTACCATCTTACATAACCACAATACAGTTATCAAAACTAAGAAATTAAGATTAGCACAACATTATTAAATAAACTATTAATACAGTTATTGGAGTTTCGCCAGTTTTCCCACTAATGTCCTTTTTCTGTTCCAGGATCCAATCTAGAATCTTGCCTTACATTTGTGCCTTATCACCATGGTTTCCTGCAATCTGTGACAGTTCCTCAGTCTTTTTGTCTTTTCATGATCTTATTGCAAAATATTACAGTTCTCTAATTGACACTTGAGAAGTGTACTGGTTGGTTATTTTACAGAATGACCCTCAATTTAGATTGGTTTGATGTTCTCTCATGATTCAGGTTATGTATTTTTTGTAAGAATTAAATAGAAATATGTGCCCTTCTTGGTATCTAATATCAGGGGGTACACGATTCTGCTATGTCTTATTACTGGTGATGTTAACCTCAACTATATGATTAAGGTAAACTTACATGTTGAACAGTGTCCCCACTAAAAGATAAGGGCAAGTTCTAACTCTGGGTACCTGTGAATGTAACCTTATTTGGAAAGATATAATCAAGTTAAGATGAGGTCATACTGGGTTAGAGTGGGCCCTACATCTAATTACTGGTGTTTTTGTAAGAAGGGGGAAATTTAGACAGAGACATACAGGGAGAGGATGGCCATCTGATGACAGAGAGGCAGAGGCTGGAGTGATGCATCTATTAACACAAGCCACAGAACACAAGGACTGCCTGCCGGGACGAGGAGGAGACAAGGGAGGGTTCCCCTGCAGGTTTCGGAAGGAGCATGGTGGCTCTGTCGACACTTCGGTTTCAGACTCTGAAACAGTAAGGCAATAAATTTCTGTTGTTTTAAGCTACCTAATTCATTGTACTTTGTTACAGCAGCCATAGGAAATTAAGAGGTTATGTCTGCTAGATTTCTCTACTGTAAAGTTAGTATTATTCTCTTTGTAATTAATACATATATTGGAGGAGATACCTTGTGACTTTATGCATCCTTCTTAATCCAATTTAGGGAGCGTTTACCCAATATCTGCAAAGTAGGTTTCATTGAAGTGTACAGGTGTCACCACTGGTGGAACATCTCCCAGCTGGACAGGGAGAATCAGAAGGTTGATCCAGACAGAGTACTCAAGAGGGTCAGGGTCAGTGTCAGCTGGAGCTGGCAAGGAAGAAGCAGGTGAGGTGGCCAGCAGGCAGGCCTGGTAGACAATACAGGCATGCAGGACACATGGGCAGCAATGGCGAGACCTTCACACGGCTGTCTGAGCAAGAGAGGTGTAAGACTGTAGGGACACGAAGGGGAGCTTCCGTGGAGCTTTCAAGGGACTCTTTATCTTATTTTTTAGAAATAAAAAAAGGCAATAATAATGAAATGATTGTTACTAATTCTAAAATTTCCATTAAAATTTTTTTTATTTGTTCTCTTTTCCCTGGCACAGAGCTAACTGACCTGGTGTCATCTGTTCCTAGAAGACGAAAGGCAAATAGTGAGGCCCAAACTCCAACGGGAGCCTGGCTTCATTGATTAGGCCAAATGTGTTTCGGAATGATTGGTTTCTAACCCACAAGGTAAGAAAGGTCTTCAAACCCAGAATGATAATTTTCCTCTAGAGATACTTATCAGAGATTTCAACAAAGGGACTACAGGATTTGTGAGCTCTGACAAACCATCAGCAACTGTTCTCAGAGGGATCCCGATAACCTCAGACATGGAAGCCACACCTGTGTTTGTCTTCTGCAACGATGAGTCTGGTTGCCAGTTGCCTTGCACTATCATCCAAAGGAGATGTGGGGAGGATTCCCTCTTTGATGAAATGGTTCAATGCTCTTTGCCATATAAAGTGACACAAGGAAAAGATTCCAATTTCCTTCTTTAAATGAAACAAGAAATGCTGGAGGTTTGTTTTGTTTCATTTTTTGCTAATGGGAGAACAAGAAGAGCTTGGACAACTGAAGTCCACAGAACACCCTGAGTTACTTCAGTCTCAAACCCAAGACGCAGACCGACTCTTAGACTGATGGATTGAGACCCCAGCAATTTCTCTAGCCCCCTCTCGTGGAATCATCCCGCCCACCACCACTGCCCCATAAAACTCTTTGCCTGCGTCCGTCAGTCAGCACCAAAAGCCAAGTCACCACATATGGCTTCTCAGCCAAAGTCTGCCTGTGAGATGGTTGCTTTTGGGGGAGCCATGGATAAGGGGGAGGCATCAGGAAAACAGCTAGTTGAGAGCAGACAATGCTAGCATGAGCCTCTGAAATCATACTGAGAGTCCCTGCCCAAACACAGCTTCCCATAAAACACGAATAAAAAAAATGGGGAAAGTAATCATGCCTTATGACAATTTCTGTGGTCCTTCTGGCTTCATTTCCTCCAGGCCTCCCCTGTTTCCTTCCAGTCCGAAACATACACTGGCAAAATACTACATAGCTCTCTAATGTCTGTATAAAATGAATGGCAAAATGAAGGAATGGTGGGGGCACAGGGCAAGTGAGATGGATTTCATCCAGCACACCCAGAGAAGCAGTTAGTTTTACGGCAAACTCCGGGAGGGCTAATGTTCTTGGCATGCCATTTTGTTTCTGAGGGGAGACCCCGAGCAGATTATTACCTTTATTTTTCTCATTATCATTGAATATTTACCCTCACATTCTAAAAGTAACCTGTCCTATTAGCCTGCCATGTGGAAATTCATTTTTGCTGAATGAAGGTCTATGGGCTGAAAAAAAAAAAAGAACCTTGGGAAATAATTCAGTAAAATATGGGACTCTGAGAGCTGAAGCAGACAGCAGTCTAGGTTACAAACATAATCTCTTAGCAGTGCCAGTAAAATAAAACAAAACCACTGTTTCAGACACTGTATTTTTGGCTAAGGTTTTGCTCCGCAATAACTTTCAAAGTTATTCATTTTAGTCAACATTGTACGGGTAAGTCAATATTTGTCCTGGCAGCAAGCCCAGATTTGTTATTTTATTAGTCTGCTACTGGTTAATTTGGCTCAAGATTAAATACACCTAATAAATAGCCCTAAAATATTGGAGTTTAGCAGAAAACCACATTCAAGTTCTCTTGCACAGGATGTTACTATTACTTAACCTTGGGTAGAAGGAGAAATGCACACCCACACCCCAAGTTAGTTCCTTTTAGCAAATGCCAGCCCCCATTGCCTGAAACTTATCTTGATCATGCCCAGACATAGTGTTGCAGACCTTCAAAGAAAGAGAAGGGCAAATATTTAGCTCTCTCTGTGGTCCCTTGCCCCCACATCTGCCTTCTGAACTTCAAGCAAAGCTCTTATTCTGCTGAGTCAAAAAGGGGCCAGATACTCAGAGCTAAAGCACTTCAAGAGTTTGATCTCCTGAAAAAGTAGGTCTGCTGCCAGAGTCATGTCTCTGTAGCCCTCGGGGGAAGGCCAGCCTTGGGCCCAGAAGATGTTTTCTCACAATTAGATTCAGGTCATGCATTTTTGACAAGAATGCCACAGAAATAATATGCCCAACATGCCACACTCATCCCCAAGTCTGGAAAATGGGGCCATAGCTCTACACCCTGGTTGGATGATGCCAGCAAGGTACCAGAGGTGGCAAAGGTGTCCTGATCACAGGCACAGGGCCCAGAGGAATGCTTCTGTGGCTTTGGGGTTTCACAGTCAGTGATTTCCTACTGACTTCTTGGAAACCCTTCAGTGGAAAGTAAGCTCCGCACTTGTTTCTCTCTATAAAAAGGGATTCCCTGGCTTCTCCTTGGGCTGGGTTAGAGGAAAAGAAGGATGCCACTGGGGTTCAGAGTTCAGGAAGCTGATGTGTACAGACCTCAAGATTACCTTAAGGGTATTTTCTGGGCTCCCACAGAGCTTAGGAATGAGCGGAAAGCCTCTGTATTAGGTGATAAAGTTATTTTCACTGTGGCCCAAAGAATGTGTCAATTCTTTGCAAAGGATCTAAGGATACAATATGAGCCAACCTTTCTGTCCAGAGCACAATGCTTTATGACCTTGGGCCAACAGCGTAACCTCTATGGGCTTGGCTGCCTCTGCTGTGAGTGGGGATGACTCTCCTACCCCTCACAGAGTTGCTGGGAGGATCACGAGGCCATGTGTGTAATGTGCTTGGCATAGGCCCGCCCCATAGAAAGCCCCCAGTAAATATGAGATTATTGCCTTTATTTCTAATGTTTAAGGAGAGGTGTGGTCTCCTGTGCAGTCTGCGCTCCTTCACTCCTCTATTCCCTGCAGCACTGGACTTTGCCTTGGGCCTCCCAGGGATGAACTGGAGCGCCACATCACCTGCCACAGTCATACTAATGACATGCTCTAGCCACTGAGGCTGCTGTGAGACCACATATTTTGATTCTATATTCCTGCCTTCCCTTTCTTTCTGTGGCTTTATCATCTGTTTAGTCAAGCTCTGGCTGGACAGAGCAAAACTGGGAGTGGTTTGGCAGGATCCAAGGCTATATCGGAGAAGAAGAAAATGTCAGTGGTGAAATTCCAAGATAAGAGCCTGAGTCAGGGGAGGGTGCCCAATAGTTGGGTCTTGAGGTCTGCATCAAACCTCCTCCACCCCACCACTGCTGAATTATGGGCTAGAAGAGCTGGCCTCCAGTCTTGCCAGATTATTCCAATAGGTAATGAGAGGACTCTGGTCATTCAACCTATGTCAGTCAAATGTACAAGGTGAAATTTTTCACAAAAATAACTTGTTACCAGAAAGGGCCACAGAGAACCACAGACATGTTCTCTCTCTCTCATCCACCTGTCATCCTTTGAAGCTCAGTATTATCTTAGCTTCCCAGAAGAGGAAAAAGGAGTACAGAGATGAAAAAGGATGCATAGATCTTAATCGCAATGTCCCAAAGGAAGGACAGATTGTTCCAGATGAAGCTGGGACGATCGAACATATCTCAGGCAAGCAGAGCTGACAGTCAGGTCTGCCATGTGACTGAAGACTAGATGGGGACCAGGGATCCCACATTTGGCTGCACAGTGAAAATTAAAGGGACATCCAACCAAGGGCATTGAGTCTGCAGAAGAAGATAGATTCCCTTCTCTTGTTGTCTGATTGGTTTCTGTTTTTGACAAGAACCATGATTTTGAGCAGATAAGCCTTGCAGAGATGTGACCTCCAGAGAGAAACACAAAATACATTTGTGCTGCTCCCTAGTAACCCCCAGCTGTCCTTGCTAGCACAAATTATCCCTTCAAATGTTTGGTCCATGTGTGGCCTCAGCAGCACATGCCCACACTCAGAACCAAGGAACAGAGCACTCGGGTGTTTGAGAACACTCTGCTCCCAACTGAGAACACAATACACTAAAATCTGATTATTCAAAACAGAAAAAGCTACCAGTCAAACAACCACATGGGAGTGATTGAATTGGGAATTAAAAAAAATGAAACTTTCCTGTTTTTGGCTTTCAGCTGATATCTTACCACCCAATGAGCAATGGTATGCAAAAAAAGTAAGGTGCAAAGCATGCTGCTCTGAAAACTGTGAGGTAGGTAATCTATTAATATAATGAATTCATATGGCATTTCTGTTGCACCCACACACCCCAAATGAGCAGATGAATAGTTTCAAAATGTTACTCCTTGGGAGGGATGTGTGTGGGTGTGTGTATGTGTACATGTGCGTGCAGAACACCAGACTGACTTTATTTGTTGAGACAGTTTTCATTCTGTAACACATTTCTAAAGACAAGAATTAAAAAATACCCATGAACAATGGATTTTCCTAAAGGCACATAACAAACACTGGCTCTCAGTGCTGTACACTTGCAACCTTGAAAACATAGTGATTATGTGTTATTTTGAACTTTCAGCAATTAATATGCAACCAGATGTATCGTTATCCATAGTCTACTAAAATGCAGAAGCCTGTGAACTATAAGGCAGCACATGACAAAGAAGGCAAGCAGCCTCAGAGACCCAGCCTGCTGCGACATCACTTTCAGCCGCTTTCAATTCCAAAGAGATAATAGGGAGAATAGAGAGACAATGGCGGTTGACTTAAAATGAAAGACATAAATACAAACCTGTGATTTGGCTGTTGAGTTTGGTAAAAAAAAAAAAAAAATGTTGGCTTAGCCACTGGGTAGTCAGTGTTAAGGGGTGTCAATAAAAGTTTCCAGAAAAGACAAGGGCAGTTTTGTGGTAAAGTGAAAACGGTATTTATTCTTGAGGATGCCTATGGCAAAGAGGGGCAAAGTCCTCATGTGTTTGCCAGCATGGGCCATCTATGGAGGGGAGGGGTTCCTTTTAAAGACTGCTGGGAGTATAATCTGGCAAAATAATTTCCCTGGTAAATTCCCCGGTGCTCCCCAAGTACCCCCAGGTTGGCAGGGCACAGGATGGAGTGAAAGACTCATTTACGTGCCAGGCCCTCCTTCCTTCTGCCCCAATATTTAAGAGTCAGGCAAGTGGCACTCCTGAGTTTACAGGGCAGGGCTGCACAGAAAGGTGGTGAGGGCAACCTGACCCTGCAAAGCCTCAATCAACTGCTATTAAATAAATTACATGCTCCAGGGCTCCTGCCTACTCACAGATTCTAGCAATTTTCTAGAAACAGAGCAGTCACCCTGCACCTGACCCAGGTGTGACTCCTTAACTCTGAAGTGCTACATAAACAATGGGGGACCCGTGCGGGGGAGAGGTAGCATTGAGAGCCATGGACGGAGTTGCCTTGTGCTAGCTGCTGGCACACACACTCTCATCTATTCCATACAGCACCCATTACCCTATTTTATAGAAGAGGAAGGTGTTCAGAGAAGTGAAAGGACTTGCTCTATGTCAAACCTGGTAATTAATAGACAGAGCTGAAATTCGAATTCAAATCCACCTGACTTGACAGCCTTCCGCACCACCCCACACTGGCTCCCCAGGATACACATGTCCTCTCATAATAATAACATAATCACAAAATACAGGGAGACTTTGTACCAGGTTGTGCCAAAGTGCTTTCGGCATTATTCCCTTGACTTTTCATTAAGTTAGTGCTATTAATATACCCACTTCACAAAGCAGGCAACTGAGACTCAGAGAAGTTAAGAACCTGGCATAAAGTCACACAGCCAGGATTGAATCCAAGGCTACTACGCAGCAAGGCCTAGGTTCTTAACCATAGCACTGTTAGTTTCCTAAACCAGGTGGGTACCCTAAAGGAAAGAGACTATAGAGGCAGAAGGGAAGTGGACACTTAGGCAGGGAGTGCAGAAGGAGCTCATTCAGCATCCAAGCTCATCCCTCTGGAATCAGCCGTTGCTCTTGACTCTTCCCCAGCCCACGTGCAGGATGCCCTGCTCGTGTGCCCCCAGCAGGCACTCCCTCTGCTAAGGGCACAACTGGAGACTGGTTGGTGGCATCCGGCATCAGGGGGACTCACTGGATGGCCACCTCCCAATATCTCCCCCTTCCCAGTCTGCCAGGCTCCCCAATGAGATTGCCTCCCCTCTCCCATCAGCACTACCTGTATGTTAAGGTTGCTGATGACTGTTAGGTTGTTGATGTCAAATTCAAGTTTCAAATTAAAGTTGAAGTTCCTAGAGGGCAGAAAGCATGCGGTTTCTTTTTTAATGGGGTGGGGGCTTGGGGGTGGGTGGGAGGGGTGGTGTTTTGCCAGGTCTCAGTAAATATTTACTGACAATTAAAGAGCCTTGGGGTCATTTTTCAGTTGTCCAACTCTTTACTAGCTTGCATTCATCGCACTATGGAGTCTCCCTGTATTTCTAACAAAGGACCTACTTATAATTAAAGCATCCAGCTAATGAATAGGGCACGGAGAACTCAAAGCAACCTAATGCACCCTAACTTGCTGGCGTTGGGTTTGTGCCTGTGTCCAGTGCTTGGCTAAGATTCTCAGATGATGTATGAGGTGGGAGGTGGGAAGCTGGCCTTGGGACAACTTGATCCTTGGCTCCTATGGCCAAGGGCACCTCTCTGCCCAGAGCTCACACACCACTCCCTTTTTAAAAGTCATTCTGGGGCTGGGCATGGTGGCTCACGCCTGTAATCCTAGCACTCTGGGAGGCTGAGGCAGGAGTTCGAAACCAGCCTGAGATTCAGACAGAATCTCACTCTGTTGCCCAGGCTGAGTGCCCTGTGGCATCAGCCTACGACTCATAGCAACTTCAAACTCCTGGCTCAGCAATCCTCCTCCCTATGCCCCCTGAGTAGTCGGGACTATAGGCCATGCCCAACCATGCCGCTAATTTTTTCTGTATATATCTTTTAGTTTGTCCAGCTAATTTCTTCTATTTTTTAGTAGAGATGGGGTCTTGCTCTTGCTCAGGCTGGTCTTGAACTCCTGAGCTCAAACGATCCGCCTGCCTTGGCCTCCCAGAGTACTAGGATTACAGGTGTGAACCACCATCGCCTGGCCTAAAAATAGCTCTATATTCTTTTCCTTTTCTTTTGAGACAGAGTTTTGCTTTGTTGCCCAGGCTAGAGTGCGTGCCATGGTGTCAGCCTAGCTCACAGCAACCTCAAACTCCTGGGCTCAAGCGATCCTCCTGCCTCAGCCTCCCAAGTAGCTGGGACTACAGGCATGCGCCACCATGCCCGGCTAATTTTTTCTCTATATATTAGTTGGCCAATTAATTTCTTTCTATTATAGTAGAGACGGGTCCCGCTCTTGCTGAGGCTGGTTTCGAACTCCTGACCTTGAGCAATCTCCCCGCCTCGGCCTCCCAGAGAGCTAGGATTACAGGTGTGAGCCACTGCGCCCGCCTATATTTCTTAATAGTTGAAAAAATCAAAGGAGAATAATATTTTGGATGTAAAATTATATGAAATTTGAATTTTAGTGTCCACAAAGAAAGGTTCTAATGGAGCCATAGTCACACATTCCATTTTCAGATTGTTGATGGCTGACAGAGAGATGAGTAGTCATGAAAGAAACTGGATGGCCGCAAAGCTCTGAAATATTTACTATCTGATTCCGTTTACAGAAAAGTAACCATGCCCTGGTGTAGGGCATGGGCTCTGAAGTCAGCCTGCCTGAGTTTATGTCCCTGATCAGCCTTTTTTTTTTGGGAATGACTTTAAACAAGTTGCCCCACTGCATGCCTCAGCACCCCTATCTTGCAAATGGCAATTATAATAGTAGTTACTGTAGGGATGTTAGAAGGAATTAATTAACAAATATATGTAAAACAGTGAAATGAGTTCTGCAACAGTATTAGCTCATTTTATTATTATTTTATTTATGCTAGAATTTCTCAAATCACTGTAAGAGTTTAACTTCCTGTTTAATATGAGATGATGAAACTACCTAGAGGGTTATGGGGTAGATTAAACAGCGACCCCTGGGAGCACGTTTTTAGCCACCCCTGGCACACAGGTGAAATCCCACAAAAGTCTTCCTGGTATTTCCAACCACTTGACTCCATCAACTCATGGCAAACGGCATCTGCTGGCACAATCGATTCCTCACCTTCTCCCACCTGCTCCTGGCCAGATGCAGAGCAGCCCTTGCAGTACAGCAGTCTGAGTCCCTATGCCTAATGGCTGCATCTCCAGCCTCTCACTGCCCTTGTTT